ACACACACACACACACACACACCCTAAACCATGGTCAATGCTTGCTTTACAGAAGCATTCATTATTTAAAGATTGAAGCTCTCCTGGGCCACATTTGGCCCACAGACCTTGGTTTGATGCATTTTCTCTACGCTTTTTACTTGAAACTGTTTGTTCAGTTTACCGCTATTCTCCCAACCATACCGTGCTTTGCCCCTTATCTCCTTACTCCATGCTCCATGACTGATGGACACATCTCACTGGAAGTCTAGTTTAAACTCACAAAACTGAAATAAGACTCCCTGAACTTCATGTTCCCAACATGATGTGGACCAACCCTTTGCACATTCACTTTATTGTCTTGCGCATCAGAGTCAAGCTGCTTTTCTCTGAGCTGACATGTCTGCGCAGCCTGTCAGGCTTCACTAGATGAGTCATGCTTGGCGATAAATCATGACACAGATGTTCTGAGTTTCCTTAGCCCAGGATTCCCGTCAGTCTCCTAATCTCAGGGGGCCTCTCAAGAATGTCCCTTGTTTGCAGTAGAGCCAGATTAAAGCTCTGAGTTGCGACTCTTAATCCACACCCTCGTGTCTTTTTAAGCCTAGAAATGTTCAGATAAAGTTTGATTCTTTGATAATCTATGCTTTATGTCGTGTTTGAGGTGCAGATGTATATCCATCTACTTTCCGAGAATTTCCTTACACTACGTACTTTTCACATTTCAACTTTGTGTCCACGTAGAAGCTGCGTTTTAGAAGACCCCCAAATTAAAGTTTTTGWATAMAGGTTTGAGTAGAAAATCTTGAACGCCTACCTTGTTTTCTCAAGTAGACAGCCACAATATAGTATTGATAACAAGATGGGCATTGGTATTGGATCAGTACTAGAGTGGTGAGATAGATACTGCACTAGTGATTTTTATCTTAAACAATTGTGTGTAGTAGAAGGTAATATGGTTATTATTTATTATTTTTGTATTATTACATTGTTTTATAATGCTGTACTCAGTTAATAAAGAGTTTTTATTTACCTACAATTGTTGTCCTGCATTTCATCATAATAAAATTTAACAATTTTTTTCAATGAACATGACAAGTATCTGTATCTGTATTGTTATTAGCAGTACTAGCCCCGTATTTATATGTTATAATGGGGTGGGCAGTACTGGGAATTTCAATTTTGATCCAATAATCAATATCAAAATTCCCAGTATTGCCCACCCCTATTATGGTTATGCTTCAAATCTTGTGTCCTGTTTTGTGGTGTATTTTTGTAGCAGAGTTACAGCACCACACACAGGCCTGGCATAGTTACAAMATTTTGGGGCATTTTGGCTGTTTCCATATAGATKAAGACRAGAAATCCTCATTTGCCGCACTATGGACCCTTGAGCAAGGCTCTCGGGCCCTCAGCTGCTCTCCGGGGGCCTTCAGTGGCAGCCCACTGCTCCACATGTGCTCACATGTGTGATGGGAAAAATGCAGTAAATTATTAGAGTACCCTTACTCCTACACTGAGTCTGTAGTACAGACAGGAAAATTACTTTACGGGGGGGATATGTGTTTTCCAGGCACATAGTTCAATTCTATGCCACAATCAAGTAACCATGTTACCTTCAATTGTTATAGAAATTCTGTATATATCAAAAATAAAACTGACTTTACATTATAGTCTATTTAAATGCCTTGAAACTGGCCTCTGTCTCTTTAAGAACCTCCCACTTTAGCACGTCTTCACAACAATGCTTCGGAGAAGGGGTGATCTGTGGAGCTTTGCTGCAGACTGAGCTCCAGGGAGGAGCTTTGGGTAAATAGGCAGGGCTTTGTACCAGCTCCACATGGCTACCACAGGAGATATAATGATTTCTTAAAGGGATCCCCGATTAGTTGTAACATTAGACTTTATTTGATAAACATTTATTTTAATTGTAAAATAAAGACTGTAAAARTACTGTAGGCTGTTGAGTTTTTATCATTTTTAAAAATATATTTGAACATGGATGGAGCCATTTTATTTACACACAAAGCATTCTGGGTAAATGATGACATTGATAGGTCCTCAATGTG